ACTGGTGTGTTGTATCAGTAAAACCTTTATATTATAACAGGCGCACGCTATCGACGAACGTTATATGAAGAAATAGCGCTTCAGAATAACAGCATTAAATCACATGCCGCTATCGAACTTGACCATAGAACAACTTGACTGAGCTAAGGATAAAGGCGCGCTTACCTGCAAAAGGCAGCCAGTCCTTTTTCCGCTACTTCGACCACATTTCCAGTGAAGGTCTGATGGTAGAAGGAAACGTAAATGATCGACGGCCAAAAGGACAGAAGAGAGAGATCTGTATTTGTATCATTCTGTATAAAATATTATTTGAAAACGAATAGAAATAAATATTTTCTGGAAATAAAAACATCTCTCCAACACGAATATTTGTATTCCTACATACGTAGTGACGAAATTTCAACTGGCCAGGCCAGGTAATTTAGATAAACTATATTAGAGGTTGGATGATCAACATTTAACGACACCTGTTCTATGTCCCTAAATTTTAAAGGATTAGGGCTAGATTGGAACATGTTAAGATAATCCTTTTAAACGGCCTATAGTCAAGTCGGCAATACGGGATGGGGCATGGCCAATTAAACTCCCCCTTTTTGTTGTACTGGGGGATATAGAATACAAAACAGGAGCTGGAATTGTTTACTTCCTGACTTAAACTGAGCTTTTATGTTACATGATTTATTGGAAGAGGCAGATTCAAAATTCTGTGTTAACTACAGAAAACGAGTTTTTACAAAACTTTGCTGTTAAGTACATACATATACTTATGCTATTTTGATAATTAATGTAAATGTATAAGGAAAAGTGCTATACTTACTTATTTGGGGCTCTTTTTTATTTATTTTATTTATTTAATTATAATCGCTAAACTTATCGCTGTTTTACTTATTCAACCGACACTCTTAAAAAAGTAAAGGTATCTATATTGTTACATACATTCATTGCGTAAGATCACCTACTGTTTTTAGTTGAAAATTGCCCCAAGGTGCTTGTCGGTATTGTACTTTGGAACATGACTAATTGGACGTTGAGGTAATAAATAAAGACATAACATGAAGGCATGTAATGCATATAATGCGTGTTTCGAGAGGAAAGGGAAATATGTTGGAAATGGTTTTAGGAGGTCAAAATAACATACATGCATCCGGACGGTTTAATCCGATTTTTAACCGTTTCTGAAATCAAGGTGTTTTTAATTTTTAACGTCACATTGTAGATTACAAGCGTGTTGCAGCTTGTATTGAAGATGATGGAAGTAATTTATGTGGGAAAAATTGCAAACTAGCTCAATTTTGTTGTTTATTCTACAATTAATTGTATGAATTCCTTTTAAAATGAAAGATAGTCCCAAAAAACTTCAGATCTTATTACATATTTAACGATATAAAATCTATGGAAAATAGATTGTATTTTTAATTAATTTAATTATTATTTTATTAATTAATTATTAATTAAATTAATTATCACCTCAAAACTTATATATTTTCATATTTTCTTAATTTTACATAAATAAATTACGTATAGATTTCCTTCCCATAAGTTGTACTGTCGCATGTTCCATATTCCTATTGTGGTCTATTTACAGCTATTACCTTCTCTCAAATTTTCGAAATTCTTGCCCAAACACTTTGTTATCGACACATTACAATCGGCTCTTTGGTTTTACTGTTAGTTTACTGGTCTATCGGTTACAAAACGACATACAAATTCATTATATTACAAGAAATTTTCCTATTTAGGATACAAATGCCTGTTACATAAATTGCCTATTATACAAAAAAATGTCTAATCTACATATTTGAATGAATGAATGATTTTTTCCAATATTCCGAATTGTTTTTCTGATAGAATAGGCATAGCAGTCACTACAGATATTCCTTCATAGAAGTGCAGTAAAGTTTCATTATTCTTCAAGATTATTTCATTCAAGACTTATACACTTGAATCAGTTGAATACTTCGTATGATATTTAAAATTAATGTTTTTATTAGTACAGTGTGATATTTAAGAAACAACACTTTTTTTTAAAATTCAAAGTGATGTCCATTACCGCACTTTAAAATATTCACTGAATGGTAACTATTTTAAAATATTCTGTAAAATATCCGTTTAATGTTGAATTCGGTTCAATGAACCACCTTTATTATTTGAATACGCTGCGAAAGAGTTTTAGAGCCCAATTAGTACGAAGAACATAATTAGAAATTTGGCGAACTTTAAACTTATAATATTTCAAGAAGTAATGCCTTTAGGGGCTTTTCATAAGGTGTTTGCACACTCAAACCTTACCATAACTAAGGACCTAAATTAATTAGTCGATGAAAAGTTTACCCTCGTAAAGTAGATTTGCATTTGTCTAGCAGTTTCTTCATCAATGAACATAAAAAGAAGTTGATTGCATTTTAATTTCTCTCCTCAAATCACTTCTCATTACAATATCTAGCTCATATATCAGCAATATAAGCTACCAGTTACTTTGCATTTTGAAAACCGTCCCATATAAACGGAGTATAATTTTTCATAATTGCTGAACGATGAAGTACCTCCTTAATCTATTATCCATTTTGCTTCAATTTAGTAGCACTTACAGCTCTTAAGCATGTTTGCAATTTTACAAAAAACATATTTGTACAAAATGGTTAGACATTAGACATAAGAAAGGAAAAAAAACGTTCAACGATCAAATGCGTCTAATGATCGTGGTGTTCTGAAACGTTCCATTCCATTTGGTGAAACGATCCATTCAAGCTACATACGACTTTTATACTAACGTGCCATCATTACTATAAAAGTAAAAGACAATATTTTTTGAAATATTTCGCCTTATTCAAAGTAGAACCTATAAAGAATAGCTACAATTTATCTTTTGTAGATAGCAGTGAATAGATCGAGTTAATACAACTATAACGAGGCGAAAGCAAAACCAGTTAAATTTTATTTCTGCCCACTCCACTTAGAAGTCGTAACTTTTTTACAAAGGCAAAATAAC